ACTGCTTTTGTGCTCCAGGGTCACATATGTTGTTTAGAGCTGTTTAAATTGTGCTTGATCTGTGCAGCTTTCTCTCCTGATTCAGACCAGAACACTTTTTCACTGGAGGAAGCATTATTATGGATTATGGACTCAGATTTTAGCCGGAAATAATGGTTTGAAGTTAAAAATGCCTTAATGATGGATTAGTTTCAGCTTTTGTCCTCTCCAGATGTTAACTGATGGACTGGAGTGGTGCGGATTACTGTGATGTTTTTATCAGCTGTGTGGACTCTCATTCTGACGGCACCCATTCACTGCAGAGCATCCATTGCTGAGACACTGATGCAATGCTACATTTCTCCAAATCTGATGAAGAGACAAACTCATCTACATATTAGATGGCCTGAGGATGAGCAGATTTTTAGCCCTTTTTCATATTTGGCTGAACTATTCCTTTAAATGATAGGCCCGTGTAAAGACACATACAACTACAAATGAGTGCAGAAACATCAGATCCTTGTTTGCTTTTAGATTGTTACTCCAACCACTCAACACAACGTGTCTTTAAATCCTCTGTGCACCATCATTAACCTGCAAGCATCTACAGCTCCTCACTTTCTACCCTTCGCTCTGGTTGGGAGGCAGAGAATATGACGGGGCCGTTGTCGCTCATGGAAAATGCTGACTTTATATCCAGACCCTGGCCGGTGAGAGCAGCGTATCGACTCCCGCTGAGCTGCGTTTTCTTCATCGGTGCATGAACGTGCTGATACCACTGAGCTGCAGAAAACAACACGTTTGGACATAACTGTTCAATTAAGAAAATCTTTTGCACTTGGGTTGCATGCTGTGAGCAACTTATTTATTTGTAGTCACATAGTTGACACAACTACACCTTTCAGCATCTTTTTGGGTTAAATGTAATACAGTTGTACAATATAATATACAGTAAATGTATATTTTAGGTGCTTTAACTGGTTACCATTTCTTTTAGAATTTCTCATCTTTATTAATTAACTTTTTGCAGTTCACTTCACTAGTACCTACAGTATGACAAATGAACTAAGATACAAACGATAAGATTAATTGAATTAATTAGATACTACTTACATTAATAATTAGATTAATATTAGAAAAATTCCTTAAAATAATTAGAAATATCACATTTAAAATAGTTTTAGATAGAGTGTAATATAGTAGTTTAATTTAATTTTTAATTATTAGACAAATTCCTTAAAATAATTAGAAATATTACATTTAAAATAGTTTTAGATAGAGTGTAATATAGTAGTTTAATTTAATTTTTAATTATTAGACAAATTCCTTAAAATAATTAGAAATATTACATTTAAAATAGTTTTAGATAATATAGTAGTGTAGTTTAATTTCATTTTTAATTATTAGAAAAATTCCTTAAAATAATTAGAAATATTACATTTAAAATAGTTTTAGATAGTGTAATATAGTAGTTTAATTTCATTTTTAATTATTAGAAAAATTCCTTAAAATAATTAGAAATATTACATTTAAAATAGTTTTAGATAGTGTAATATAGTAGTTTAATTTCATTTTTAATTATTAGAAAAATTCCTTAAAATAATTAGAAATATTACATTTAAAATAGTTTTAGATAGAGTGTAATATAGTAGTTTAATTTAATTTTTAATTAAAATAATTAGAAATATTACATTTAAAATAGTTTTAGATAGTGTAATATAGTAGTTTAATTTCATTTTTAATTATTAGAAAAATTCCTTAAAATAATTAGAAATATTACATTAAAATAGTTGTAGAAAAAGAACAACATGTTAGTTTAATTTATTTTAATTATTAGAGTAATTTCTTAAAATGGTTACAAAAATGAGTTTAAAATAGTTTTAGATTTTAGAGTATAACATAGTAGTTTAATTCAGTTTATCATTGTCAGAGTCATCTCTCAAAATAGTCAGAAACATTACATTTTAAATATTTTAGATGGAGTATAATATAGTAGTTTAATTCTAATATTATTAGAATAATTTCTGAAAATAATTAGAATGTTTAATATATGTTCAAATCTAAAACATTGAAAAAAATAGTATAATATAGTAGTTTAATTGCATTTGTAATTATCAGAACTATTTCTTAAAATAATTTGAAAAATGACATTTAAAATATTTTTAGACGGAGTATTAATGTAGCAGTTTAATTTAGATTTTCATTTATTTCTGACCAGCTAACAAAAGTACTGTACTCTGTGTTAGAAGTCATTGCAGGAGAATAACTAAAATTGTAGCCAAAATGCTTTATATCTGAACTATTTCTTAACTTTACTAATATATAGTGCTGAAATATTAAGAAATGTAATTGACTCACCGTATATGTCTAGTCTTGCTGTGCATGATATGATTCCTGCTTCATTTTTTGCAGACACCGTGTACCAGCCAGCATCTTCCTTTCTGGTCGGTTGAATCAGTAGACAAACATAACCTGTCGTGTCCTGATGCATGCTGGTATAACAAAGACACAGAATGGGAATTTCAAAAATATTAATGTTCTTTTAATTCATTTATTGTGTGATATACTGCATTTATGTTCTCAAAAGCACACAGTGTTGATCATATCTGGGAAACCGTGCTGAAGCAGCTGAAGGGAGCTGCTGCTTTGGTTCCTGGTCCAGCAGATGTGTGCAGACTCACCTGACTCTGTCCTTCGAGTGAGGGATTGTGTCATTGTCTTTCTTCCAGAAGATGAGCGGCTGTGGCATTCCCACAACCCTGCAGCCCAGACGCACCGGGGAGCCCTCGGCGATGCCCGTGTTCTGCAGCTTTTCCACGAAATGCGGCGCCTGCTTCAGCTCTTTTTCTGCGTGTGTTCATTTGACAGAGAAAAGAGGGTCAAGTATTTGTGTGTTATTAAGCTGTTGCGTGTCAGAATAGCACGATATAAATGTGCAATTCTGGCTGCTTTTCTCAGAATTGCACGATGTAACGTCCAATTCTGAGAGAGAACAAAAGGCTGACTATTTTCTTACAATTGCATGTTTATATCTCACAGTACTGACTTTATAACTCGTAACTGTGATTTAATAAATCAACAAGTCGAAATGATGACATAAAAAGTACAAAATCTGAGACAAGAAGTCAAAATTATGGCATAAAGTCATAATTTTTAGATATGTTAATATTTTTGACTTGTCAATTTTGACTTGATTTACTTTTTGTCATAATTATAGTTTATCTTATAGTCGCAACGTTTTATCTGACAAGATTTAAAAAATGGTATAAGTATGAGATATGCCGAAATTATGACATGAAAAGTCATAATTATTAGATAAAAAGTTAGAATTATGAGATGTCATAATTTTGACAAAAAAAATAAATGATGGCATAAAATTATAAATATAATAGTCATAATTGTGAGAAAAATCAAAACTAGCATACATCGAAATTATGACATACCAAGTCATAATTATGACAAAAGGTTGAAATTGATGTACAAGGCTGAATTTATGATAGTCAAAAATGAGTTAGTATGGAATTATAAAATTATTGAGTTACTTAAAATTCAATATTATGAGATAGTCATCATAAGATATGCTAAGTCATAAAGAATTTTTATTGTCATAATTATGACTTTATCTCATAATGACTTAGCATGCCATAATTTCAATTTGTTTTGAATTTCTATCTCATAATTTTGACTTCATTCCAAGTTATAATTGTGATTTACCAATACACATTTTTTTTCTTGTGTGGCAGAAATGGGCTTTCTAGTATTTGAATGTTAAAAGGACATTCAGAAACGATCCGGCTCTTACCCACTACTCTGAGCTCGAGGCCGAATGAACTCTGTCCCGCTTTATTTGAGGCGATGCAGGTGTACGTCCCGTCATCGGCTTGAGTCAGAGAGTCAATAGCCAGAGAATGGATCCCGTTTTCTCTCACGAGCATTCGGTGAGTGAGGTCTGGATATATGGGCTTCCCGTTAAGAAGCCACATGATTTCAGGATGAGGTAACCCACTCACCTAAACAGCAGAGGAGGGTTCAGAGCATGAAGACAAAACATGCAGCTTCAAGCTTTCTGCAATGTTACGTGTCATTGTATTGGATAACAGACAGCTTTCTCAAAAAGAATTTGGATGCTTCAGTGACTTTAAGCTTTTTGGAATTTTGGTTTTAATAGTTTAAATGATACAACGTAATACAAAGCCACTTAAGTGACTTTCATGACCAGGTTTCTTTAAGTACATTTAAAAAGTGCACTTTGTAAATATGTCAAATTAGAATTTTTTATTTAAAGTATGTTGTAAATCCGTGTTGTTACCTAAACTAAAACTGAAACTAATATTAAAACCATTAAATAAATAAATAAATAAATAAATTGTTGCTTGAAATGAAATGGATGAAAACTTAAATAAAATATAAAATGTTATTTTATTTCATCTAGTTGCCAAGGCAACATCCCTCATTTTAATTTACAGTACACTGTAAAAAATGACCGTGAATTTAACGGTAAAAGACTGTAAAAATGCTACAGTAAAAACCTGTTAAATGGTTAACGGTAAATTCCCCTACTATATACGGTGAAAAACTGTATTGGACATTACATATATTGGACATTAATTTTACGGTAGTATATATTTTCACTTCCAAAAGCTGTAAGTTATATTAGTATAATTTACAGTGAATAACCGTAAATTGACATTCCCGAACTACAGTAGTCAACATTTGAAGTGGATCAAAAAAGTTAATCAAAGTTGTCCTAAGACAAGAACGCATTTTGGTTTTAGGTTTTAGGACAACTTTGATTAACTTTTTTGATCCACTTCAAATGTTGACTACTGTAGTTCAACTTGATGTACTAAACTCAAGGATCTAAAACCGAAATAAAATGTAATAAAAACTATATGGACATATACAGGGGGGAAAAACACCAAACAACAAAATCACTAAAAATGTTTAATTAAAATGAAAGCGGAAAATGTAAAACTAAAAACTAATTTAAAATATTAATTAAAAACTATAATAGTGCCTCAATGATACTAAAACAACACTGTTGTAAATCAATCATTGTTTTAAATACATGACATACAAGTTTCAATAGAAATGACGTAAATCTTTGTCAGTATATTCAGCAGTACACTGAAGTAATTATGGAAAAGATGTACTTAAAGATTTACTTAAGTCCTGCTCACTACCGTCTTAAGTTAAAATAATTGCATTTAACAATTTTAAACTATAATACATTTTCATTTAATTGCAATTAACATGCAATAGAGTCTAAAACATTACATTCAGTTTGCACTTCAAGTATTTTCTTTAAGTAAGAACCCGTTTTAAAAGTATGGCAAAGTGCACTTCCTTTGTATATTTAGGGCCAGATTTACTAAACAGGGCAAATTAGCGTTAGAGCGCAATTCTATAAAAGCACGGGTGGGAGGGGAAAATAAAATACTATGGAAGTCAATGGTGCTCATCAACTGTTCAGATCCCAACATTCTTCAAAATATCTTCTTTTGTGTTCAACAGAAAAAAGAAACTCATACAGGTTTGGAACAAGTGGAGGGTTGAGTAAATGATGACAGAATTTTCATTCTGAAAGTGAGCTACTCTTACTCTAACATGTTTTTTTTGGGCGTTAAATAATGGCGCAAATACCAGTAATTTGACGAGCGCAAACGTTAGTAAATTGCATTTTAATACTCCCCTCTAAATTTTGCGTCTGAAAAGGAAACTCCTAGAAATGCACATTCAATAAGGACAGGCGCAAAAATAACTGTACTGTTTTAACGCCAAAAGACGGTTTGTGCTGGCGCAAGCTGTTAGTAAATCTGGCCCCAAGTCTGCTAGAACTCCTAATGCAATGATGTTCAGACATTAAGCGCTCAGATCTGTTTTGGGATCATCTTGCTGGAATATCTCCAGTACCTTGCAGTCTAACCTACAGAGGCGTCCCTCATGAGCCGACATGTCTCCCGGAGCCTGCAGGAAGTGCGGACGAAAGCAGCGCTCTTGAGCCGGCTCGCCCTCCACTTCCTGTACACGTGCTCGGACTCTGGGAAAATCAACATTGAGTGATCACAGAGATGCAAACAGGTAACGGGGGAAAAAAAAGGTGAGAACATTATGTGGATCGGGGGCATGCTCCACACAGAAGTTCTTTTAAAGGTGTGTATATTATTATGTATATATAAATACACACACATGCATGTATATTTCAGAAAAATGTTATGTTTATATATTAAACATTTATTTATAATATAAATTATATGAATATAAATATAGACATGCAAATACATGTAAATATTTTCAAAATATATACATGCATGCATAATAGATATACACAGAACACACATATTATGCAAGCAAAAACTTTTATTTTGGATGCGATTAATCACGATTAATCATTTGACAGCACTAATATATATATATATCCTTATATGTCCAAATCTGTAATTTTTCACAAAAAATATTAACATCTTATTGCAACATTTTACAAAAATCAAGATTGAATATATTTGGTTAAAATCCTATGTTATAAAAGATGAAGTGCAGGCTATTTAAGACAATATTGGCTAAAATGCAAAATGTTTGCCCTCTCTCTCTCTTCACCGTTCCCATATCTCAGACCTCAAATACATAACATATTACCCTTTTTAGACATAGTTCTTGAAACTACCAGTTTTTATTTACCCTTGTAAGATGCCCCCATAAAAACACTTTCTCACTGGAACCAAGCAAATCTCATAGGTGACCTATTTTGATCTCAAAAAAGTGAGTTGTCACTGAAAGGTGAGAAGTTTGCAGCTATGTATTAAACATACAAGTCCATGAAACTTATCTCTTTGTCAGCCATTGCAACTTCAGAAGAAATGTATGAAAACTGAGCATTGATCCGACTCACCTCTGCGAGTGAACCATGGGACGGTTTCGCACGGGACCCGTTTGGACAATCAAATGGCCAGAGCAACTTATTCTGCCCTGTGAACATGAAAACAGGCTCGACTCTGATTTCTGCTGTACATCAGAGTCATTTCTGATGATTTTCTCCAGCATGTTACCTGTGGATTCACTGCCATGACTGTATAATTGCCGTCATCGTCACTTGTGACGGCTTCTATGTGTAATGAACACGTCCCATCACCCTCTCTGATCTTCTTATAGTGCACGTTTTTCTTCAAAATCTGCTTTCCATCCTTAAACCAGTAAACCTGTGTGAAAAGTACAAAATAAAACAAGTAGTTTGGACTATATTTATGTTTCTGTTATGCTTAAAGATTGAAATTAATATAAACTGTACCGAAAACAAATTATTTAGAAAATAATAATGATTAATTATTAATCTACAAGCACTAGATTAATAATTTTTTTTAGCTATATAAAAGAAATGAGTACTTTTACCCATTAAGGAGGACGTATTAAATTGATCAAAAGTGAGAGTAAAGACATTTTTAATGTTACAAAAAAAGTTCCGTTTCAAATAAATGTTCTTTTGAACTTTCTATTCATCAAAGAATCCTGAAAAACAAAATGTATCACTATTTCCACAAAAATACTGTGCAGCACAACTGTTTTCAACACTGATAATAATCAGAAATGTTTCTCGAGCAGCAAAGCAGCATATTAGAATGATTTCTGAAGATCATGTGACACTGAAGACTGGAGTAATGATGCTGAAAATACAGCTGCGCATCACAGAAATAAATATATTGTATTTTTTGATCAAATAAATGCAGCCTTGGTGAGCAGAAGAGACTTCTTTCAAAAACATATAAAAAAAATCTTACAAATCCCAAACTTTGAACCATAAAGAGAACACAAAAGTGTTATTTTCTGTGCATGCATTAAAAGAGCATCACATGCTGTCAAAAACTCACTTTAGGAATTGGAATTCCAACAACTTTACAGGTAAATGTGACAGGAATCCCTTCCACAGCCCTGAAGTGCTTCAGTTTCTTGTCGAAGATAGGCGCGATGCATTTTCCAGAGGGAATTTCATCGTGCTGAACTTCATCGTCCGACTCTTCAACTGGAGTTCTTTCCAAATGAAACTCGATCTCACTCAGTAGCCTCTGCTCAAAGCTCGACACCTTGTATTCCTACAAAACACATGAACTTATTACCTGAAATCATTCATGAATGTGTCCCATTTTCATATTAACTAAACTTTCATATTTACTACTTTTTCCAGGTTCTGTGGAAACATTGCCCACAGCTACCTAAATGTTAAAGTTTCCAGAACAGTCGCATAATTAAACAACCAAACTGATCATAGTAATGTCTAAAAATAACAACAGAGATATGTGATAAATGACAAGGCAAATCAGTGGTCAGGTTATTTTCAACAATCAGTGTGAACTTGTATATTTGCATGACATTTTACAACATGTAAACCAATTACAATAAGAAGCGGGCTTTGTGGCGATAATATAACACTAGCATATAACCTATATGAAGGTAATAGCGACTTTTTATCTCACAACACAATTTTTTGCAATTCCTGGAAAAAAGTCAGAATTGCAAGATTTAATCTTAGAATAAAAAAAAGACAGAATTGCAAGATTTAAACTCAGAATTCTAATAAAAAAGTCAGAATTTCAAGATTTAAACTCAGAATTCTAATAAAAAAGTCAGAATTTCAAGATTTAAACTCAGAATTCTAATAAAAAAGTCAGAATTTCAAGATTTAAACTCAGAATTCTAATAAAAAAAGTCAGAATTTCAAGATTTAAACTCAGAATTCTAATAAAAATGTCAGAATTGCAAGATTTAAGGTTAGAATTCTGAGGGGGAAAACAGAATTGCTAGATGTAAACTCAGAATTCTGAGAAAAAAGTAAAAATTGTAAGATTTAAACAAAGAATTCAGAGTGAAAAAGCCAGAATTGTGAGATTTAAACAGAATTCCAAGAAAAAATTCAGAATTCCAAGATTTAAACTCAGAATTCTGAGAAAAAAAGTAAAAATGGTAAGATTTAAACAAAGAACTCAAAGGGCAAAAGCCAGAATTGTGAGATTTAAACTCAGAACTGCGCGAGACAAAAAAAACAAAAAAAACACATTTAGCATTTTTTTTTAACTCGTGGCAAAACCAAATAAAGCTAGATATTGCTAGAAGTAAACTCAGAATTCTGAATTACTGAAAATTGTGAGATAAAATTGCAAATGTTTTTATTCTGTGGTGGAAACATATGTTCTGGGGGTTAGAGAAAGAATGAAAAATGGTCATATATAACTAAATTATGAATGTTTTTGGTGTAAAAATAAATAAATACACAAATAAAAATAAAAACTAGGTTACTAAATAGCTATGATATGAACCCTTTAACACACCATCCTATTTTAAAAGTACCTATTATATCTCAAGAGGCCTGTCGGGTAACAGCTCGCCTTCAGTTCTGGATGTCTGAATGCAGTCACCTCTATTTATATTACAGAAGAGCCCTGTTCATTCCTGACTCTGTCTAGTCTCGCAAGCCCAGCGCTCATGTTTACTCACAGATACTGTTTGCATTCAGATTTCATTCACATAGACACTGAACTGAACTGTGATTGCAATGGTCTAATGTAGTGCTCATGTCATTATAGTTTCTGTTTGAGATATCCATTGAACACTGATATTAATATTCTCATGTAGTTAGTATAGCATTAAATTAAACTCAAGTTGCTCATGCATAATCTTTTGTGATAGAATTTTAGTTAGAGTATTAGTTACAATTAACAAGGACGCAGCTATATTTTTAATATTTGTTAAATGATTCTGACTTGTGCAGATGTGCAGATTTGAAAATAATTATGGCCTTAAACATTCATACAATTAATTCTACGTAACAATGGTAACACTTTACAATATACGGTCCCATTGGTTAACATTAGTTAATGCAATAACTAACATTAACTAGTAAGACATTTGTTATAGTATTTATAAATCTTACTATTAATCTAATATGTCATATCTAATTTATCTCTATACTAATCTAATTTATTATATATAATATATTAAACGTTACTTAATAAAAATACAACTGTTTATTTTTAGTTCACGTCAGCTCATAATATTAAGACATACATTAAATTAACTAAAATTATCAAAGTATTTTCCATCGTTAATGTTAACTGATATAGTTAACTAATGTAAACAGATGTAACCTTATTGTAAAGTGTAGATGAAATTTACTGCATCTTCCTCTAAAGAGAGTTATTATCCATGCAGTTTCATTAGTGGAAAAAAGCCACAGCTTTATATTAGCTCAGGATCATCTTGTTTCTTGTTTTAATCAAAATCGATTCTTATATTATGAAACTAATGCACTTCAGACCAAAGCACTGCTTGCAATGGAGAAAAGTCCTTGTACCTCGTCATAGTTAATGACAGTTGCGGTGGGAATGTTTGGTCCGAGCGGGCGGCTCACGTCCCCCCCATAACTCTGTTTCTATGGAGGACAGGATGAATGACGATGATGTAAACACAAACACTAGTCACACATCAAGACACACGAGTGATAAATAGTGTTTTTATCATGTTATGTTGTCATGACAAGAAACACTTCAGCGTGTAAAAGTGTTAATATGGTGCATCATGCGGACGCACATTTGACACATGAAATGTATGTGTTAGAATGTGAAAACATTGAAACTGATTATGAAATGAGAAGATCGTCGTTAAAGGTGACATATCATGAAAATCGGACTTTTCCAGGTTTTAAGTGCTATAATCAGGTCCCCGGTGCATCTACCAATCAAGGAAACGTGAAAAAGATGAACCCAGTAACTTTGTTTTGGGAAGCCTTTTTCTGCAAGCGTCTGAGAAAACGAGCGCGTCTGATTTCGCTCCCTTGGTGACGTTGCAAAAGGATCTCATTATAATATTACCGCCCCTTAATCTGTAAGTTTCCACCCACGGCGCCGTCATTTGATTTCGCAAGCGACAACGGTGTACCAGCTCTAATGCCATGATGAAAGTTTGAGGAAAACATGCTAACTGTTCTGTGTTTGTCTGCACAGACGAGCACAGAACACTGTTTAGAGTCCCAGCCTCAGAGGAGACAAGCAGTGGATTTATTGATTTATTTAGGCTACTGTATATTGCTGCTGCCGCACAGATCTAAAATAAACATGCGATTTATTTCCCAGCTGTTTACCGTCACAGACATAACCGACTGTTTTATGTAACTCATGTGTGTTTTTAACGTAAACTTGTGAGTGAATGAGAACTTAGTTTAGTACTCGCATGCTGTGACAGCCGCTTTCTGTGCGTGTGCTTCGGATGTGTGCGCTCAGAAAACCGTATATAAGAAGTTTAAACCCATATGGTTTAAAACGCATGATTTCAGCACGATAAACACAATAATCAGAACCAAAACAGATGTTTTTAGCAGGTCCGAGCTGTAATGGAGCAGCTCTATTCTGGAAAGGGGGGCGGGGAGCAGCAGCTCATTTGCATTTAAAGAGACAGGCCCGAAAAACAGCGTGTTTCTGCTTCCACTCAAAATAGGCATTTTCAAAATTATATAATAAATGATCTGTGGAGTATTTTGAGCTGAAATTTCACAGACACATTCTGGGGACACCAGAGACTTATATTACATATTGTAAAAAGCGGCATAATATGTCTACTTTAAAGCAAAGCCACTAAATGATGCATGGAGATTTACAGACCACAAACAGAAATGAAAACAAAAGGTTTTCATTTATAAATGACAGCCAGCAATACATTGAAATTTAAAGTATTAAATGTAATGAAGCCCTCAAATCAATAATATTGACATTTATAAACTCAACATGAAAAACCTGAACATGAAACAACCTGATGTGATGCTGAGGAGGATATTAAAATAGGGTTAATTTAATGTTGACTTTAAACAAAGCTTTTAATTTAAGTCCAATCCGAATTATTTTAGAGACTTTTACAGAACACCTGTAAAAGTTTACAGATTTGCGGTGCTATGAAATATAAATATATTGCAAATGCAAATGCAGATAAAAAGTAAGTAAAATTGCAAACATGCACTTAATCAAATGCCGTGTAGTATATCAAATATGAAGGAATTACACATATATCTATATAGATAATTATAGAATTATCTGTATACACATCTATATGTAATTCCTGCATGGCATCATTTTTGGCACTTAATCAAATGCCGTGTAGTATATCAAATATGAAGGAATTACACATATATATCTATATAGATAATTATAGAATTATCTGTATACACATCTATATGTAATTCCTGCATGGCATCATTTTTCCTAATGAAATGAGAAAAGTATCTCAGCAGGTGATATAGTTTTGCATTTGGTGCAAGCCAACCAAGAGTTAGATTCAGCCTTCAATTTCAACATCAAAAAGAAGCTTGAAAACCTATTAAGCACAAGAGATAAAAAAGAACATGTTTTTGCCAATATCATTATGAAGTCCTAGCTATTCTGTCTTAAAGGGTAGCAGCGATTTATTTTAGAGTACAGACTGATCAAGCTGTGGTACACAGAACATGTTATTTAGGGGGATATTTTTCTTCCCTATTCCTTCTCCATCTCCATCAATCTGTGTTTTGTGTAAGCCCACACAAATTTAACTACTACAAACCAAGATTAAACCCTCTGTAATAGTGTCTCTCATAAAGAAACCCGTAACTCAAAGTAAGATGATCAGAAACAGCAAAAACTTTCTTCTGTGAATAACAGAAGATTAGCAATTTGATATAACTGAATTGTGTCTGTAAATCCTGCAAAAGCATGGCCTAGGCCTACTATTTGTACTATACACAACAAAACCCATCTTTGTAATATTTATGACACCACATACCTGTTGTCCAAAACGAAGCTGTTCATCTTTAAATTGCAATTTCTTCTCAATATCTTGTAACAGTGTTTCCTTGCTCTCGCGGATGTCATCATCAGACATGAGTCTGGAACCTCTTTGATTCTTCTTTAGTGCACCTTGAGGCCTGAACATGAAGTAACACAATGAGACTGAGGTAAGGCATTAAAATATGATACAAATACGTGTATATATATTTATGAAAAGTCAAATTCTGCTGTAAAACAGCTCTAAAAAGACCATAGTGTCATTATTTTAACTAGTCAGTAAACAGACAGGATATTCCACAAAAAATCCCTTTAAAGGGGTCATAGCATGAGAAATCAAATTTGCCTTGATCTTTTGGGATATAAGAGGCCTTTGTACCATTAAAACAACCTGCAAGTTTCATAGATCCTATGTCCTCCTCATTATAAACAAAGCATTTATTTAATCAAGCTCCAAAAACGGCTCGTTTTGGATCCGAGGGTCAAGGTGACATCACCTAACCCCAGTCATTTGCATAAACACTGCCTCCAGAGCAAGACATTGACGAATAGTCATCTTCTCACCATAGGCCCCGCCCACTGGTGTTCAGACGCTTAACAGCTTAACGGACACTTGTCACGCTGAATGTGAGTGTCGCTTTGCGTCAAAAGCAAACAGAAATTACAATCACTGCCGCTGTCTTGTCTACACTGGATACAGTATACAGATGTGCGTTCACTTTCTGACAGTGCACGCGCTCGAGTCGGTCATCAACAGGACAAATGGAGTGAAAGAATGTTCGCTTTGACGCGTTTGGTTTAATCAGCTCGTTCACGTCTTTGTACAGACATCAGAAGGATCCCAGTGTAAAGAACAAGTGGATAGTTTATTTTTAATGGTGTCCTGGATTGTGTCTGAGGATCGATCAGAGCATTTTGTTTTGTAAACGAGGCACAGTGTAATGGAGAGTTCACAAAGAAACATTTGTTGAAAGCTGAAGCGGTGCTAGATCTGACTGCAGCTGCATCACAAACGCAAGTAAATGATTTCATAATGCTTTGTCTGGAAATGACTGTTTTCCCACATATTTATTAGTTTTTTTTTTTTGCAAAAAACTTTATTAACATAAGTAAACTCAAGAAACCTATAAAAAAAAAAAAATCCATGTCATCATGACCCCTTTAAGAGAAAGTGTGACCTTTAAACCATTTTATGATATTACAATATTATAATGCAGAGGTCTTCAACCCTACTCCTGGGGACCCACTGTCCTGTACAGTTTATTTCCAACCTGCTTCAGCACACCTGCATGTGCATTTTCAAGCTACTCTAAAGAACTTGATTACCTTCAGGTGTGGTTGATTAGGGTTGGAGCTAAACTCTGCAGGAGAGTGGATCCCAAGGAGCAGGGTTGAGAACCTCTGTTATAATGAAATGTGTTTGTGTATGCTTACCCAGGTGGGGCCCTCTTCGGCAGGCCCATGGCATTGGTCGGAGGAGATATTGGAAGTGAAGGAAAGACTGAACTAAGGAAGGCCACTGGATTTTGGATGGGGCTAGGAGTGGAGCTGCTAGACGTTGGTGAAGAAGCTTGTGGGGGTGACTGAGTTCTAAAAGAAAACAGTGAATTCACCAGCCCAGGAGGCAGTAGAGGTGGTGAGGACACATATGGTGGGCTGCTTGGACACTCCAGAACTCTTGTTGGGAACTTTCTTGGGGACGGAGATGACTGGTTGACGGGCGACGTGAGCATTCGTGTCGACTTCGGGAATATCTGTGCAGCTAATTCATGGAGCATTGGAAGAGGAGACTCGGTTGGGGAAGGACTCCTGATAGGAGAGAGCATCTGGGCTGCAATGAACTCCTTCGGCCTTGTGTAGGTGAAGCTCTGGGTGGAGATCGGAATAATCCCGGGAAGTGGAGGCTGGGTGTCAATCAACGGAGGTGGAGACATTGGACTCGGGATGGGTGCAGGTTGATTTCTCACTTGATGTGGTGAGGTGATTTTACTCAGGGGTGGATACGACACACCTTGAGAATGTGTGTCTTGTGGAGCCATGCTGGGATGAGAACTTGTGGTGGTATTTAACTTTGGTCCAGTGTTGTTCACCACTGATGCATTAGGTGACATCAGTGCCTGTGTTCTGGCAACACTCGTGTCACTAATGGGAACGGAGTATATCTGCATGGTTGGATTCATGTTTATTTGTGAAATATGAGTGGAAGAAGTAACGGGTGGAACATTGGCCACATGGTTGGGGTTTGGTTGGGTGGTTGGAGCCATGAAAAGTTGAGGAAACTGTGCAGAAGGTCCCAAATTTATAGGCATAGGGATGTTGGGAGCTCCTCCTGGTTGAGTTATTGGGATTGTTGGGATCACACTTGGCATAGGGGTAACTGGAGCCACACTGGGTGAGATTGGCCCCAAATTCAGCTGAGGAGGAGTGGGCACCACATTCGGTTGGGTTAGTAGGTTAGAGGGAACTATACCCAGTGGAACAGTATTTAAAATAGTAGGAACCAGATTTTGTTGAGGTATTGGAAGGTGGTTGTGTAAGGTTGTGGCTGATGGAGTAAGTTGGGGCAAGGGCATGGAATTGGTTAAAGGCATGCTCAATTGGGATACAGGTACAGCTTTTAATATGGGAGCAGGTGCTGTAGGAAGTAGAGGGACAGATGCAGGGATCTGCAGTGGAATTGGAGCAGAGTTCATTACAAGAGGAGGTGGTTGGAGTTGGGATGGAACTGAATTTGCAGGAGGGTGAGTTGGCTTGACAGGCGATGGCTCACAACTTGTCCTGTCTAAATGTGGTGAATCTTGGCTTGGGGAGGCATCTTCCTGCCGCTGTTCCAAAAGCACCTGGTTGTGGAGGATCTGAAGCTGCACTGGGTCTCTAAGATAAGACAAAAGAAAGGGAAAACAATCATGTTTTCTACTTCAGATAGTCCTAAAACATAATTTTACTCTCAAGTTGTCTTGCAACACTCTGAAATTGGTACTTACAATTTTGGTTTAGCCAACACTGGTGGTGGTTCTTTAGATGACATTCCTTTCTCCTCCTCGTCTTCATCTTCCAGGAGTTTAAAGGTTACACGGAGGCCAACCTGGGAACTAGAGCGGGATTCGTTGTGATTCCCTAATACACCCTCGGGTCTTGTCTTGAGGCAAGAAGTTGGGGGATCTGGTATGGGTTTAACAGTTGGTCGCTCTTGATGGTTACTGCAGTTTACTGGTGGGAAACTAGTAACAGAAGGGCTGGAGGTTGGTTTTGAACCATTTGGTAATGGTTCTACCGATGCATCAGAGCTCATAGTGATGCTGGAGGCTGATCCGTTTGGTGGACGTTGGGTCACTTCTGTGGAAGGCTTAAAACCGGACCCTCCTGAATCAAAGTGTGTTGTGCTAGAGCTGAGAGGCTTATGGTTTGAGTCTGAGTTCAGTGAAGAAAAACTGAAGCTGAGTGGGTCTAGCTGAGGTAAACTAGTCCTTAAAGTATCTGAGCTGTATTTTCCAATGCTGAGATGGTTTAGACTAGGTAGGCTAGTGGTGAGATCATGGCGAAGGGTACTAGGATTTAGGGAATCTGAGCGAGGCGTTCCAGAGTCATGAAGGTCTGAATGCTTAAATCCAGATCTCAAAGGGTCAAGGCAAATCATACTTGAGTGAAGCTTGTTGTTTACCAGAGGAACATCTGGTTTATGCTTTAAAGTTGTTGACATCAGTTCTGTTGCCGGAACCTTTTGGAGGGAGGATTCCACTGTTAAAGTGCTTGTTGTTTTAGGATTGGTGCTGTTATTATTGTGTCCTATCGATGCAGACAAAATATTGTCCAGAATTAGACTTGAGATGTGATATATGTATTAATTTTTATCTCATTATGAACTTAAGCAGTCTTAAGCTGATCCAATAATAGATTCCTCAACAATAAAACAAAATTACCTTTTACTCTCAATACCGCAGTACTGGAAACTGTGCCATATTTATTGCTGGCTATGCAAGTAAATGTTCCAGAATCCTCTGGAAAGACCTCCGCAATAACCAAAGTACATATCTCCTCTGATGTCCACACCAAACAGAGAAATGGCACAATGTTAGGTGGTTAGAGTCATGAAATAATTACCTTGGCAAAGCAAGGGTAATCAAATCCACCTACCAGATTCAGCCATGGATCTTGGTTCTGGGATGAAAAAAGCAGAATGTGTGAATTGTCAGATAACAATTTTAAGAAGAAAGTCAAGCACTGTAAACTTTTCTTTCAAGTTACATTTTCAGTAGTTTTCAAGGATGGATCCAACCACATATCTAAATGCACTGCGCAGTAAAATTATACATACTCTTCTGAAGGATTCTGAAGTCTGGGGAATCTTCAATAAGTGTTCCCTCCCGGTACCAGTCCACTTTAGGGGAGGGAATGCCTTTTACTCTGCACTCGAGAACTACCAACTGACTCTCTACAGCCAGGACATCCTGGAGGTTCTACAGCAAAAGAGACAATGGTGTACAATGACAATGGAATGGAAAACCTGTAAAACTAGGTTTTAATTCTTCTGAAGATAATAGCTATTGCCATGATGATTTTTGGATAGCTGCCAGGGCATTGCTACTGTATACACTGTCCAAAAAAAATAGCTTGTCACTTAGGCAATACCCGCAAAGGGACACCTTTGTACCTTCTTTATCCCCAATGGGTGCATAATAGTACCCTAGAATAGTAATATGTACCCTTAAGGTAGTAATATGTACTTTTATGTTCCTAACATGCACCCTTTAGGTACAAAGGTGTCCCTTTGAGGGTACTGCCCCAGTGACCAACTGTTGTACCCCTAAAGGTAGAAAAAATTTCTGAGAGTGAACAGTGCATTTTAAAGGGTGTTCTGTGGGGTTGATAGTGCATTGCTAGTTGGTTTCTTACTGGCCCAAGTCAAACTGGGACACCACCAAGGCTTTATGATATTTCTAAACATGGCTTGCACTGGATTTGCCGGTTTTACAGCCTGCCAAGCAAAAATCGTAAGTATGACTGCATACCAAGGTTTTGACTCACTGGATTTAGGACAGGCATGCGTGCAAAAGTTTAAAACACGTGAAAATATTATAATACGTCTATGTTTTTTTTTTCTTCCAAGCATTAATTTATACTTCATTGGCACTCAATGTCAAGATTTAGAAATACAAGCTGTGTTTGCTCTACCTTCGTAAAAACAGGAGCTGCCATCATGGGCCTTACATCGAAGCTTTGAAGATAACTACTGCTGCCATTTAGAGTCTGAAAACAAAACATATGGAATGTAAGAAAAACACATGCATTAGTGGAAAAACAAAACTGCAGATTTGGTGTGTTTTTCATACCTCAGAAATGCTCTGTTGAGATGTTAACAGTACATCGGAGATACTTTGGCTGGATGGAGGTGATGGTGGGGCAATGGTCAGTGGAGGAATTGGTGGAGTGGGTTCCACCTCAGATATTGGCATTGATGGTTCTAGTACAGGTATGGTTGGTTCTACTACAGAAATGTTTGGTTCTAGTACAGGTATTTCAGAGCTGACAACCTTGGAACTCAGAAGTTCTGTATCTTCCTGCTTAGAGCTTGGGTCAGCAATCAGCTCAGTCAGTGGCACTGCTTCGGTGTCAGAATGTGCTGGTGGTTCAGCGAAGGTGGTTGTTATAGTTGGTGTGGTGTCTTCAGCAGATGTGTTGGGTTCTGCCAAGACCACAGCAGGTTTGGGCTGAGGAGATCTTTCATGAAGTCTGGAAATAAAGATGTGTGCATGTGATTTCAACCCCTAGGGGTTCAAAAGGTACTGCAGATACAGATTTCATAATGGAAAATATACAAACTCACTCTGCTTGAAAATGTTTTTCTTCGTCAGAATCTGACGAAGATGCTCCTAATAGAAAATGAAAATATACAAACTTAATTTCAGACTGCAGCTGCAATCATTTAGTCAATGTATATTTCATATTAAATAGTCCAGAAGTCATTTACTGACCCTCAATGTAGATTTCTGCTGAGGTGGAGTCTGTGCCATAAAAATTGGAGGCAAAGCACGAGTATCTGCCCGTGTCTTCTTCAAACGCCTCTGCTATGATCAGAGTGTGTCGCTCACCATTAGCGATGATCTGAATATCAGGACTGTTTTCCAACTCTTTACCCTCACAAAACCACCTGGAAAACACAATCAGAATGTTACATTCTGGACAGGAACACACATTTACAAGTACATCCACAATACAATAAATTAATGAATGTAAATGTAAAACATGCGCACAAATCATGTCTGAATGCATCTGGTTTTAATTTGACCTCAGTTGAAAATCCAATGAATGTACATTCAGTTGTATACTGACATTTCAGCCCAGGTCATTTACAACACAAATACAATGCATATTTACTTCAATGCATATTTAATTCATCATTTTAAAATTTGAAGTGTGCTAGTGACACTAAATGAATACCTTTTGCGGTCACAGAGTTCATTAATTCAAGCATTACAGTACAGAGGTAAACCACATTTATTCAACAATATCATGACTTTTTTCAATTCATGTTTGATAGCCAAAATGTGCACCGTGTAAAACAAAAACCAAAAAGGTTAAATTGCAATATATCTCAAAATAGCTGAATATCATCTAGATTTTCAGTCTATCACAATATGCAAACAAATTAAATGTGTTGTTAAAATGCAGAATGTTTAGTATGATGAATAGCTTTTGGACATATTAAATGGTCAATCCAGCCTAATTAATATCAAAAATACAGGTCACAAATATTTCTAATAACAAAAATAAAGAATAGATTTCAATTTTTAGGGAAGAATCTCTTGAAAAACTAGTTGATTAGAAAAAGCTATTTACTTTCAAATTTTCAAATAAACAATTTTCACTGTATTTACTCTACTGACACGACGACTTTCTTTAGTCATTCAATGGCAAAAATCAGTTAACTGACTTACAGTTGTCAGACTTTTAGATATTAAGCTGTTGAGGTGAGGTTGAAGCAATTTACTAATGAAGTTATTTTTTGCATATATCACTTTGTGTTAAAGAAGGCATTCAAAACCATTTCAATGCATCTTACAAATCATCCAAAATCAGTCCTCCTTATCAAACACATCAGCAAAATAAGAACCACATCGCAACACAAGACAAACAGCATTCATTCAGTAATAAATCAATGGGCTAAACTCATATTCTTGAATCCACAAATATAACTTTACCACAACCTTACCTAGAAGACCGTACGACAGTTATTTCACTTTAACTGCTGTTTCCTAAAATTCCCTCGCTGAAATTTAAAGCGCTTCTGAAGAGACGAGTTGTGGTTCATTCCATGGGCGAGACATGGCTGAAATGTATTGGGTTTGATCCATGAGCCAGCGAGGATCATTTCTAATGATTAAGACTCTACTTTGAAAGCCTGAGCTGCGGGGGAAAGACATCCAGTGCTAGATCTGCACCTGTTCAGTCTATTTTCCCTCTCGACTCACCCACGGCACAGGAAGCCCTGTTAAAACTGGACGGCAGCATCCCTGACCGACACACATGAGCTAAACATAGAAGGGCCTCTCATATATTCACCAACACTGCTAATAGATCTATCAGATATTTAGCGGGCATTTGCCTCTGACAGAGAAACACTTGAGATTTTTAGTTACAACAACTATGTGGATTTTTTTTTTTACAACATACTTATTTAGAACTCAAAAATAAAGTTACGATTTTGGAAAATCTACTACAAAGACAAGCTATTACGTAAAATGCTTCTAGAAAGCATTGGCCATGTCATTTATGTACAGACGGTCAGATGAGTGTTCTCAAAGGGTGCTGTAAGTAAAATGTTGAAAAGTGAAGTAAGTTTGGGTCACTGGAGGGAAGATCTAATGTTTCTGACATCACAGTCTCTCGGTCAGCTGAGAACAGCTGTCCAAACACGTTACCTGTCACACAGACACGCTCAGAAAAGCACGGCTTTCCTTGACCTGTCAGTGTGGGAAGTTTGCATTGAGTAATGTTACACTAACCTTTCATCAATGATTTGACAAGATATCTGTATGCTAACAGAAAATGCATAAATTTATGTTTACTATGTAATAGGTTATTAAATGCAAAAATGTTAAATGCATGACCAGTTCATACAAAGTTATTCAATGCAAAAATATTACATGCATGATCAGTTTATATGAAGTTTTTAAATGTTAATACATTAAATGCATGATCAATTTATACAAAGTCATTAAATGCAAAAACATTAAGTGCATGATCAATTCATACAATGTTATTAAATGCAAAAACGTTAAATGGATGGTCAGTTTATATGACGTTATTAAATGCAAAAATGTTAAATACAAAGCTATTAAATGTACAATCGGTTCATACAAAGTTATTAAATACAACAAAAGTTAAATGCATTATAAACTTAATTTATTAAATGCAAAAAAGGATGATGCATTTATATGTAGTTATTAAATGCAAGCATGTTAAAAGCATGACCAATTTTTGCAAAGTTATTAAATAAAATAAAATAAAAATAAAAGCACACCCAATTTATATGAAGTAGTGATGAAATAGCTTCATAGTTCACTCAAACATAATTTAGCCACTTTTAAATCATAACTGAAAAGGGAACATATAACGTGTTATTAAGTCTAATTGTAGCTAACAGTTTTTCAGCACACTGGAGCAGTAAAGCACGTATTTTATGAGAGATGTCCAGTTTATAGAGAAGCACAATGTAATGAATCAGTCCACTGAAGGCGAGCGTAGTGAAGAACCCATGTGCAGTTTATTTCCAGATGTGATCCAAAATACAAACATAACCTGAGACTTGACGTGACATGAACAGACTTGACTAGAAAAGACTTGACTTGACATGAACAGAACTCACCGACAGCAGGTGTACATTCATTCAATACACGACCAGAGTCAATGGCAACATGAGGGCTACTTATAACAAACACTAAGGGTCACATGACAAGAATCAACCAATGAGAGACAGGACACATGACTAAGACAACGAATGATAACATGACACATGAACCAAAGAACCAATTAGAACATAACACACAGACAAGGGTAGCACATGACATGATCACATGTGGGGCAAGGAACACATGACAAACCAGGAAATTAAACTAAGAGCATGAATACAAAGCAAAAGACATGAACACCAAAACAACCCAAAACAAACCCTGACACACAAGCTGATTATCCCGGCTGGAGCAGCACATTTCCACAATCTGAGTCACACGGCTCTTTAGGCTTTACAAGTTATGATAATCGTCCTTTAAAGTTCATCTAGCCTCAAGCCAGGAGCTAATGTTAAACGATTTAGATTGCTTCTGTTCTGCAATTAGCTTTTAGTAAACATAAACATTATCACCATTTCATGACAAACACACTCACTACAAAAGAGTAAACTCATTCAACACAGAGAACAGTGTTGTTATTGTTAACTAAAACTATTAAAAATCATTTCTGATCATTGAAATGGAGGAAATAAAATAAAATATAAATATTAGATGAAAAACATAAAATAAGAATAATTTGAACGAATAAAATGACTACCGCTACCCCTGCTATTAAATACTGTAGAAATATTAAAATAAAATAATAAAATTAAACTAAAATAAAAGCAAATTCAAAATATGAATAATGCTAACAATACCCCCCTCCCCCCCCAAAAAAAAATGTAAATACTGTAGAAATATTAAAATAATAAAATTAAAATAAAAAAAGCTAATTCAAAATATGAATAAATACTATAATGGTATATAAACAATACTAAAATAACACAGTACCATCTTATATCACCATAGTATGATTTTTTGTAAGGAAGTGACATTCATTTGTGCAGTTTATTTCATGAATTAGGACAGAAAAGACATTCATTGTGCCCAAGTAAACACTGCTACAATAAACTATAATCATACCCGCACTAATTGTGCAAATTTGCAAAGCTCTGTACACATTTAATATCTTGTTTACTCTTCTACTCTTTGGCTAACTGTGCTCTACTGAAGAAGTAGGACGATGATTTCGACTGCATTCTCATAGCATCATATTTCAGATGTAGCAGAATTAGAATGGCTGAGATCAGACTGCATGTTATACGGTCAGCTTTCACAAGACGTCTTTGTGCTCACAGGCAATGCTTGAAAAAGTAGATTTTTAGCATGCATTTGCTAGAAAAACGGTTGCCATGATGCTACGGTGTTACAGATCCCTTGTGAAAAAGTACTACACTTTTTTTCTTATTGTACTTAGAAAACAAACTACTTAAAAAGTATTTGTTATGGAAATAATAAGTACTTATTATGGAAATAATATAGTTTAAAAGAATATACTTAAGTGCAAAATGAATGTAATGTTTTTGGACGCTTTACTGCATGTTAATTGCAATTAAATGAAAACATATTCTACTTCAAATTTATATCAAATGCAATTATTTAAACTTAAGGGGATAGTTCACCCAAAAATCAAAAATGATTTACTCACCTTCATGTCGTTGCAAACCTTTTTCTCTCTCTATACTATATACGTCAACTGTTTCGTTACCAACATTCTTCAAAATATCTTCTTTTGTGTTCAAGATATAAATTAAATTCATACCGGTTTGAAGCAAATGATGACAATTTTTTACTTTTATGAATATTATATTATCTGCAAGAGCACATTCAATGCAATTAAATGCACAAGGGGTGTTCTCAAGGCGTTGCTATTTACACAAAAAAAGATTTTTTAAAGTTGTAAATAAAACAAAGATTACTGGAATACATTTTTCAAGAAAAAACCCTGTCATTCTTTCAAAATCTCATGTTTTAAAGGAGACATAATATGCCCCTTTTTACAATATGTAATATAAGTCTCTGGTGTCCCCAGAATGTGTCTGTGAAGTTTCAGCTCAAAATACTCCACAGATCATTTATTATATAATTTTGAAAATGCCTATTTTGAGTGGAAGCAGAAACACGCTGTTTTTCGGGCCTGTCTCTTTAAATGCAAATGAGCTGCTGCTCCCCGCCCCCTTTTCCAGAATAGAGCTGCGCCTTTACAGCTCGGACCTGCTAAAAACATCTGTTTTGGTTCTGATTATCATGTTTATCGTGCTGAAATCATGCGTTTTAAACCATATTAGTTTAAACTTCTGATATAAGGTTTTCTGAGTGCACACATCCGAAGCACATGCACAGAAAGCGGCTGTCGCAGCATGTGAGTACTAAACTAAGTTCTCATTCACACACAAGTTTACGTTAAAAACACACATGAGTTACAAAAAACAGTGGGTTATGTCTGTGAAGGTAAACAGCTGGGAAATAAATCACATGTTTATTTTAGATCTGTGTGGCAGCAGCAATATACAGTAGCCTAAATAAATCAATAAATGCACTGCTCTGTTGTCTCCTCTGAGGCTGGGACTTGGCTGGGACTGCAGCCAAACACAGAACAGTTAGCGTGTTTTGCTCAAACTTTCATCATGGCATTAGAACTAGTACACCGTTGTCGCTTGCGAAATCAAAATGA